ACTTTTGGTCGGAAATACGTCTATCTGAACGTAGGTTTACGCAAACCTATTCAGTGGATTTTCCTTCTCGCTGACGTCACAATCTCCATCATTGGCACGGACCTACTTAATCATCATGATTTACTCGTAGACGTCCGCCGTAAACGAATAATTGACAACACTACTAGTCTGTCCACAAAAGGCATCGCCTACATAGGCCCCAGCTTGTCAATCGTTAAGATGAAAGCAATCCTCGATCCAACTTTTCAACCGATTGTTGACAAGTATCCGGAACTCAATTGCCCATCTAACGATCTCCCGTGCATAACCAGCAATGTTATGCACCACATCATAACCTCAGGACAGTCCGTGGCATCTAAAGCACGATGACTGGAGCCTGACAAACTGAGAATCGCCAGAAATGAATTCAACCATATGCTCACCCTTGGCATCATTCGGCCATCGAATAGTCCATGGGCATCCCCACTGCATATGGTACCTGAAAAGGAGAGCAACGATTGGCGACCCACTGGTGATTACCAGCGAGTGAACGCCAAAACAACCCCTGATTGTTACCCTTTGCCTCACATACACGACTTGACGGCAACGTTATCTGGAGCATCTATATTCTCAAAAATCGACTTGGTTAAAGCGTATAACCAAATCCCGATGGCAGCAGAAGATATTCCGAAAACAGCTATCATCACGCCTTTCGGACTTTTCGAATTTCTACGTATGCCATTCGGCCTCCGGAATGCGGCCCAAACATTCCAACGCTTCATCGATAAAGTATTTCGCGGTCTCGACTTTGTATACGCATACTTAGACGACTGCTTCATTGCCAGCCCAGACAGGGAAACTTACCTTAGACACTTGGACTTGGCATTTGAAAGGTTACGCCAACATGGTGTTACCATCAATATTCAAAAGTGTCAAATAGGCGTTGACTCACTCGACTTCCTATGTCACACTATTGACCGCCAGGGCATTCGCCCACTGCCTACTAAAGTCGAAGCGATACTGAACTTTCCGGAGCCACAAAAAGTGAAAAGTCTTCGCACTTTTAACGGCTTGGTAAGTTATTACCGACGGTTTATTCCCAACTGCGCCTCTCTGATTCAGCCATTGACAGACCTTCTTCGAGGGAATAACAAGTCTATGGAACTTGACGCGTCTGCTCGACATGCTTTTACCCAGGTAAAAAAAGCTACTGTGGATGCCACACTTCTCATGTATCAAGATCCAATGGAACCGTTAAGTATCCCGGTTGATGAATCAGACACTGCAATCGGCGCAGTTCTGCAACAACTAGTTAACAAAGAGTGGCAACCACTCGCCTTTTTCTCGAGGCGCCTTCGGTTAGCTGAAACGAAGTACAGCACATTCGGAAGAGAACTTCTGGCTATGTACTGTGCTATACGCCACTTTTGACATTCAGTTGAGGGTCGTGAATTCACCATTTTCACTGACCACAAACCTCTGACGTACTCTCTGAACTCAACTTCAGATAAGTATTCACCCAGGGAATCACGACAACTGGATTACGTTTCACAGTTTACATCGGATATTCGCCATGTATCCGGAGTGAACAACACTGTGGCAGATGCCTTGTCGCGTATTTCTTCCCTCACCCAAATCGACGGCATAGAATTTGTAAAACTGGCTCGTCTTCAAAAAGAAAATACCGAGCTTCAGCATGCGTTGTCGAAAACAACTCTACAATTAGCAGAGAAACCGTTAGGTATGGGAAAAGATACTATTCTCTGCGACATTTCCACTAGTACTCCTCGCCCTATCGTGCCTAAAAGTCATCGCCGTAACGTCTTCAATACGTTGCATGGCTTATCATACCCAGGTATTCGAACGACCGTCAACCTTTTAACTAGTCAGTTTTGTTGGCCTGGCATTAATAAGGAAGTAAGGGAATGGGCACACGCGTGCTTAGAATGCCAAAAGTGCAAGATAATAAGACACACCAAAAGCCTTCTTGGTACTTTTCTTATCCCTGACGCCCGTTTCAAAAACGTCCATATAGATTTACTTGGTCCCCTTCCAGAATCTCATGGACATACCTATATGTTAACCTGCATCAATCGCTTCACACGATGGCCTGAAGCAGTACCCCTCAAGGATGAATCTGCTGAAACCGTCGCACGGGTCTTTGTAGAAAGATGGATCGCAAACTTTGTATGCAAATGCATGCAGAGTGCGATACAAGCAAAGAAGAACGGAACAATACAACGAAGAATCACTAGCAGAAATATCTTCTGAAACACTTCTACACAATTTATGTGCATGTCTTTTAACCAGGTGATTCAAAATAGACTATAAGTCACGTAGCTACTTCTGATAATTTGAAAGCAGCCACACTTTTCACAACTCTACTAGTGTTGGTTGGTTGATAGAAGCTGCATGTTAGGCTTAGCAGTTTGAATACCTCACATTCAAAATCCATCGAAAAGCTGTTGGGATAGACTTGCCTACACTCTTCCAATCTCCATTATTCTACCCATGACAATTTTTGCAAAGTAAACTTAAGATTAATTGATTATACGTTCAAGTTTCTGACATTGTCAGTGAAAAGAGTTCTCTGGGAAAGTAAAATACATAAAAAAGAAGGTGAATCTGATCTTTCTGACGCCATTAGCACATAGGCTATCGAATATATACTCTCGTATGATTAACGATAAAGATGCAGATTAATCTTTGAATGTGTATAGATCTTGTGCGTGTGTGTTTATGTCCTCTCTTCGCTAAATCACTGACTGCCTAATGAATTTTGAGGGTGAAGTCGCAGCTGTGAAAGTTGTGCATGTAAAAAAGTGAAAAGTAATTTTAGCAACTAGCTGACTTCATACACATATTTTTCTCATGGTTTTAGAAGTTAGTCCGTAATCTGCAATTATCTACCCACATATTTTTAATCGTATTATTCCTCAAGCACATGGAAATATTTTTGTGAGTTTTATACTACTCTTGAATATGTAAGTAAGTGGTTTAATGTCAACAAAATATTTAAGTGATTGGTTCACTGAGTTTCGGATTTCTTAAAGGCAAACTTGCATATTGTGTGCACTGGACAGCTGTGAAGAGTTCAGAGACTAATCTAGGAAGTCATTTAGGTCGGAAATTATTCCTAAATTGTGCACTGAATATGTCAACAGATAGTAAGCGACATAATCAACCTGTAATAAATGACGAGCTACTATTATTAATATTATTAATACTACTAATATTACTAGTACTACTAACATCAATAGTATTACCACCAATACTACTACTACTACTACTTCGACAAATAAAAGGGGCTACTCCTACTACTAATAACAACGCCACTATCTGTATTAATACTGTGGTGAGAGCAAGCTGCTAGCCAATTGGTAGACATTGATCTACGCTGATTGGTGGAAATTAATCCAGGCTGATTCAACAACCGATCACAGCTGACCTAGACGTGGACAAATATGATTCGCAGACAAGTGGCTCGCATTTCCGAGAAATATCGAGAACGAGAAGGCAGAAGACTGCGTTTGTTTGCAAACAACCAATCAGAAGACCGCCTTCTTCTGCGGGCAGAGCCTTAATAATGTACGTAAAATACATATAAATACCTGTTGGTTTTCGTAATAAAACTGATCTGTTGCCTGGCCCTTGTCTTCTGTGGTTACAATACTACTAGTAATACTACTACTAAAATAATTATTAATAATACTACTGCTAATACCAGTAGTACCTCTAATAATACTACTGATAGTGCCACTACAAAAAGTACTACAAACACTACTACTACTGCTACTTCTGTAATGACAGAAGACAGGGGTCAGGCAACAGATCGTCTGTTGAAAAAATTAACAGACATTTTTAGATTTTTTATGTACACTATTATTCGCTATTATTAGCAGAGAAACAGCGTCTTCTGATTGGTTGTTTTCTTCCCGAAGGTTATTCTGTACCGTTTGTCAACTTTTCTTAAAAGAAGTTAAGCCATATATCTGCGAATCGTATTTGCATACGTCAAGTCTGATGTGATTGGTTGGTGAGTTCCTCATGGTTAAACTTTGTTATTGCTTTTTCTCATAACCCAGATTCGGGGCGCAACATTGATGTAAATTGTTGTCTACATTTTGACTTGCAGCCAGTTCTCACAACACTCATTCCCTCGTCAAAGACTCTCGACTGAAGTTGGTTCGATATTCGTGGTGCTGTTGGCTTTGTTCGTTTGTGTTACTGCATCGAATTCCGACGTTCCCACGCTCATCCTTGTTTGCATTTCTGATCGTATATGTGTGACTCTGTCCCACGGTGACGATGTATGTTCCTTCACACTTTGGAAACAGTTGGCGTGACTCTGACGCATATTCCTTGGTGATTCACCTCACACTTTCATGTGCTGCCTTCTCCCGACCTCCCAGTAGCGTTCCAAGTAACAGCCTCATTGCTGACGGGTCTTGAACGCCACTCAACTGCGTAGCAGCCTCGAAGTCCTGTCCGAAGATCCGTATGTCTCCATCAAAAACTGAAGGGCATAGGCTTTCCATTTGTCGGTAGGCAGCGACAGCAAATGTAACAACAGAAGGCAAGACACGGGAGCAAAGGTGTATTTTTCATTGATCAAACTGCTGTTTATATATCTACAGTTTATATTCGTTAACCAATCACCGAGCGTGTGATTTCGGTTTGCTTCAAACGACATGAAATAGAATTTTCAAATATACACAGTATTGTTTTTCTAATGCAGTCTTGAACTGTAGGAATAACATTACGACTATAACATCAAATCGAATGTTCAAATATATATGTATTGCATGCAGTATTGAACTGTGGGAATATGTGAGCATAAGATTCCGTTCGAAGACATTGTCTGTATCACACCAAAACAATACTACTAATGCTACTACTGATACTGCATAGATTATTTCTACTAATAATATTACTACTAATACTACCAACAATAATACTAATACTAATATAATTCTCTTACTAGTACTACTGTGAATGCCGACAGTATTACTGGTACTACTATGAATCCTGCTACTGCAAATAGTAATACTAATACTGCTGTTAATAATACTGATTCTGCTACTACTAATACTACCACTGACACTAATATTACTTCTACTGGTAATAATAATACGAATACTACATCTACTATTACTATCAGTACTACTGGTTGTACTACAAATATAACTACTAATATTAATACTACTACTCCTTATACTACTAGTACTAATTCTAATAATACAAACACTACTAACACCAATAATACTACTACTATTTCTACAACTACTACTACTGGTAATATTACTAATTCTAATAGTAATACTACTACCAGTGCTATTAGGACCTCAACTAATTCTTTTAATAGTACTACTACTATTACTAGTAATACTACTACAATTATTAATACTACTACTACTACTGGTAATATTAATAATGCTACAACTGCTGCTAATGCTGCTACTCATAATAATGCAATCACTAATACTACAAGTACTACGACAACTACTGATAACAATATCGATAACAATAGGATTGCAAATACAAGTACTAAAACTATTATTACCAGTAGTAATGATACTAATACTATTACCACTACTACTACTACTACTACAGCTGTTGTGTTCAACCACTCACCAATCATGCAATACATCCGTGAAACAATCGGAAAGTTATGCTAAGGCAACTGGGAAATGGTGGTTTAGAAGTGGGAATAGAGTCTATTGGAATTCTATTTCTAGTAGGATACACTCTTGATTGATACCAGTTGGTGTTTGGTAGTGTTAATTTTGCCAAATGGAGCTGGTTCACTCTACAGTGGAATTCATCTAATCATTCATAATAAATGTTGATGGATATTTCTCTCTCATTCTGTTCGCAAAACATTTTTCAGATAACTAGGGACGCGTTTGATTGTTTGCGTGTGATGAAGTCAGTATAGAATTTCGTGTTGAACATGAAGTCTTTAATCGTGTCTTATTGGGTGACTTGATGAAATCTCTCCCATCTTCTCATACATCTGAATCACAATCACGATGATATTTAGTGTGTGAATATCGAATTGGTTGTTCAATTATGGGAGGAACTGAAATCAGGGAAATTCATTGTCCACCAGTTTCTCGTTCACGCCTCGGTAGTTTTATACAGACGAATTTTAAATACGCAGATTTACACGAGTAAGGGTGGAATTCAGTGAAGCATTGAAGCCACAGTAAACAGTGTTAACAATCACAGTTTCTAAAATCAAAATATCCATGAACAGTGGCAGTAAGAAAGCGACCTCGTAACACAGGTTAATAAGCTATGTATATATGCATTCAGTTAGCAAGGAATGATTTCAGAGAATAAACGGTAATGTACTGGTACTTGATTGATGCAGAATTTGATAACTGAGAATAACTGAACTCCTTCAGAGTAGGATATATTAGGTGGGAAGGCGTCTGAAGTGAATACAATAGTAGGACAAGGCTGGCTGTCTATTATGACCCATGATGATAGTCCTAATTGTGGAAGGCTGTTGGAGATCTGTATTTCGTGGATGATCTAGGTTTAATGTCATACAAACTCGAAGATCTACAGACGAAAACAAACAAGTTGTTAGAGGACATATTGAAGAGAGGAGTTCAAGTAGAATAGAAGATGACCAACCGATGACAAACCAACCAAAGTTAGAGAAACCTTCCTTCACTTATCTAGGCAGCTTGAATTGTTACAACCACCACAACCTGAAAGGATGAGGATATCAAAGCCAGCCAAAATCGGAAAGACAGAGTATAACTTCATTACTCTGAAATCAGTTCGGAAACCTTCTGCATCCACTCAGTATAATGAATCAGATTCCTATGTTCAACACAACTGTGAAGTCAGTCAGTTATTCTACATGACTCGGAAACTTGGTAGGTGAGTCATGGCACTCATTTCCCGCAACCCACTACAGAATTTTGTCAATAGGTGCGTCCTTCGCTGGCTTCATATTGAAGACCAAATTACTGGCCAGATTGAATTAGCAACAAGAAACTCACGGAACAATCAGATCAATAAGAAACGACGAGTGTGGCTTCCGAGGGTGGCATTAAGGATATCGTGTGAGAAGGATATGATATATTATAGTCAGTCGTGTGGTCAGCTCGAGAGGATCGCAGAGAATAGGACATAGTGGAGATGTGCTGTTAAAGCGCTATATTCGCCTTGGAACCTAAGGAAACAATAATAAAATAATGATGTTAAATGCCTCTTTGTTTTTCATGTTATTGTACCTGATATTCCTTCAAGGTGAAATTCATCCTAAAAATATTCAACTATCTCTTAAGAAGAGGAAGACGACAGAAATGACCAAATGAATGGAAGGAACATAAGTGAATAAATGAATGTTAAATTAATGATGCTACATATGATAGCCAGTGTACTCATAGTGTGGACGTAGGCTGACAAACTGTTGAACATTTCAGTATGCATTTATTCAAAGATGAAGTTATGTAATTCAACCTTGTTTCGTTAACTAAAATATGGTTTAGCTTAAATAAATGAAGGTGAGAATTGAGTTAATACTGGAAATTGTTGAAAGTGTGATTAATAATGACGACTGACATAATAAGAGGCAGATATACAAATTGAAAAAAACAAAAAAATTAATGACACCTGTATAGGTATAGGGATTACAACAGTTCAACACTGATGGATTGGGAGCATAGATGAGGGACTGGTTGATGAAATTATTTCCTTTAACAAACGTCTGGAGCTTCTATTACTATGTTGAAAGCTGCAGGATTACATATTAGTCGAACGAAGACAGTAACAATTTCGGAAGTTTATTTGTCGCCTTGCAGTTAACTAACATCAAAGGAAGAAGCTGTAGAAAATGAAGTGATGGTTGAACAGATTGATATTCATTGAATTCGTTGAAAAGGGACTTTTTGCTGAATCACATTTGCTGATTTCCTGTATGTTCTTCATCCATCAGTAAAACGGCTGTTCTAGCTCACTTAAACAAACTAGCTATCATCACCCTGCTACACACACAGACAGAGCTACTGCTTTACTGGAGGATGGTATAAACTGGTGTCAAAATAAAGTTGAAAATGACATTGCAATCTCCAATCAGTCCATGTTCTGAATCTCTTGTCTATCTTTCATGTTAGCTTTAATGATCCACATGGATCTACGAGCTCGCCTTGTAACCAGAATGCCCTGGGTTTGAACCCCGGTGTGTGCGTACTGTTGAAGAGTCCCAAACTAGGATGAAACAGCTGTCCAGTACTCCCAGGTTTTCCAGTGGTTCTCTTACTGATGTCAGCTCATGATGAAATCCTCCATGCAATCAAACAAAATCCCTACAATTCCAATACTTGAAAATCGTAGATTTCTTGATTATTCAGCATAATGCATCGCTGCCTCACTCCAAATCCTTGTCCAAGCAATTCATAAGCAAAAACCACAACTCTGTGTTCAGAGATGTTCTATCTAGGCTGTTTCAGTATCACGTCCTCAGTGTAGATCTTATTTTCCTAAATTGTTGCATAATAACCATTATGGAGTTCTTTCATTGAATCATTTCTATTTCAGTCATTGGTCGCCTCATTTTCTATGAATTATTTTGAAATGGTTATTCATGACTCAACTAATTTTTTGTCAAGCCTCTCGATTACATAAGATTACTCACCATATTTTCGCACATTGTTAATTCTCATACATTCATACTTTACTTTGCTGCTAAATGACAAGTACCACCGACCTGTAACGCAAATTTATATTGTACCTGTATGCATACCCTAGAATAAGTGGAAGGCTCTTTATTGAAAATACGAACATAGATCTGTGTGCTGACTTGTGTGTCTTTGAAAAAAATAGATCAAGTGCCCCTTTATTTGTATTTTCTTCAACTGCTTTTATGATTAACTCTCTGTTGTTGTATTTTCATTATTTCCGTCATCAACTTGCACTCATTGAGTCTCATGAATGGGTGGTGACTAATGAATGAGAATACCGAATACACCGTCGGACTAACTGACTTCTATTCATCGATGCACTGGTGAATTCATTCTAAGAAAACTGTCATGAGTTTTCAGTGGAAAATGAGTATTGAACGAAATAACCATTTCATTTTGTCTGCATTCCTATGTCAGCAGTCATGAGTTTTGAGCAAATGATATTTGTTTGTTGTGAGTGAATCGAAGTATGTGTTATGTCATTGTGAGACCTACGTTTGTGCTAGTGATTACTGATGAGAAACTGCTAAATGGATAGAAGGTCAGCTTAGAAGTAAACGTGGAATTGTGATTCACGAGGTGAAAGCAGGGCGTGAAATATGGGTCAGACACAGATATCAGTTAGGATGTCGATATGACATGTCGAAGCAAGAATTCTAATACTGAAGAAAATTCAGTGGCAGAATTTCTCAGACGGTCAGGATTCAAGCTGATCCAAAAAAGAAAACTAATTTTGTAGATCAGTTTTGTCAGGGTGGGTGTTATACACACCCAATTTTCCCAAAATATTACAATTATTTTACAGTACAGAGATATTTGTACTTTCCTGCACACATATAACCTCAGAAACCTGTTGATTGTTAATGGTTTCAGTTTATCGAACGACAACGTACTGGACTCGTCATCTACTATGTTATACTGACCGTCATATCAGTCTTCCAGTACAAAATAAGTGACATGTAACTCACAAGAACAAAAGCGTATTGATCCACAAGTCTGTTCATACACATATAATAATATATAGAATGAAAATGGGCGATGAACCATAAGACTGAATGGACAGTGGAAAGTGAAACGTCAGTGTTAACTGGTTGATGATTCATGCTTTAAATATGAGCGCCAGTGTGCTCAGAAAGTCACTGAATTCCTACGAATCAACACACTACACTCTGGGTTATTCATTCATGGTAAGTTGTAGGATGGAACAGACAAGAGTGTGAAAAAGATGATGTAAAGTGACGTTTATTTGCTTAAACTGTCATCCTCTAAACACGAGGAAAATTTCAATTCAGTGAGTTGTGCGATATAGTTGATCGTTGGCTAAAATAGTGGACAAGGTCAGAAATCAGCCAGTGAAATCAACGTAGAATTACTCAACATTTTTCTCGGTGTTATAGTTAATCAAACTTCCTCAAGGTAGAAGAAGAAAGCTGACACCATTTTGGCCTTTCTCATGTGATGAACGAACGCCGTTACGTATATTGATAACTCTGGACCACTGTTGAGATATGTGAGAGTAGAAAACTGATTTTGACCTTGTGTTATACCTAAACATTTCCAAAAATTAGTTCGTATGTGACCACAGGTTTATCCGACTGGAAGTCTCTTTGTATCTGACTGAATACGGGAGGTATTTTGAAATAACCTATCAACAAATGCATTGTTAAGGTCTATGGGACTGAGTATTCAAAATCAGATTCATCTGGACAGTACGTGAATGGTGGTTATGCGTGACAAATGAGATTTCCTCCAAAATGTTAGCACACCATCATGAAATGAAGTGGTACCATTACTGAATTGCCTGTGATAATAATATTAGTATAACGGCAGAACACACTGGTGCATTTTAGCGAGAATGTTTTTGGACGGAACACATGCAGAGATGTCAAAAGTATAGAAACACTGCATTGAAATTTCCATCTGCACCAGTCATTCGCCTTCGCTTTCTCTTGTCTTCCTTTCATGCTACCTAAATT